CTCTGTCTGCCTCTTGTAGTGACCATGTATGTAGTGACTGGACCCCAGGCTAGGGTGTTTAAATGGCGTTTCCCCGCCTCCAGGCAGTGATTGAACGTGATTTAACGCTGGTCTTTTCAGTTAGCCAAGTTTTGATATTCACATTAGACCTTAGATAAAATATCAGACATTTCCAGTTGGTCAAAGAACGCATGGGAAGAATTAAAAGCCATACTAACGGGATCTTTCAGGAAACATAATTCTATATCTTATGAACTCCGGTTTTACGTCAAAGCCCGTAATTCATCATTATTACTGTCATTCTCATTATTATGCATTGTATTTTAGTTTTGTTAGCATTGGACTATATGTATATTTCTTGTAATTTAGTTTGTTTATGACGCAAAGTAGTGTCAACCACCGAGCTGAGCAAACCTGGTAAAATCACAGAAATAAATAAACAAATAAATGAGTACATTTCCTAATATAGTCAGTAATTCAACCACATTCACTGTGGTAGTCACAACACTTCTCTAGGATGAACACGGGGGTGCCCTAATTCCGACCTACCCCTAATTCCGTACTAGTTTGAAAAATCCTTGTTGCGGTGTTATGCATGGGAGCACGTGCCTAAAAATAACAACAAGAATGGGCAAAGTTTTTGTGTTGATATCGGTAATCTCACAAAGTTTGCGTTAGTTCGTACACTCCGACAACAGACGAGTGAACAATGTGTTTGAATTCGACGCTTGTTCGGGGGTTGACGAGAGTGTCAAAAATGTAGGTTTTGCTTTTGAAACAGCCCCTTTGGAGCAAGTCGCGTAATCGTAAAAATAGGACTTGTTTGGGACAGAAAAACAGTTGTAGATTGTTTTAGTCATAATTTGTGTATCATAATTTCTAAACTCTCTTCTCAGATCGACCTGTGTTAAACACTAGGTCGGAATTAGGGCACCCCTATTGCGATAGAACGTTCCACCGGTAAAATGACCAAAAACCTGCCGTAAGTTTCGTGAACCATTACGCTTGGGTGCAAGGCGCTACACTGAAGTGAAATACACAGCTGTTGTGATCTTTATCTGTTAATATTATAGCTCATGTTTCGCGTGATTCTGGTCAGATAACCTATTACCAAAGGTATGTGCGTTTGCATGGAACATAGGTCGGGACCCCTCCCGTTACTACTTTCTAGAGGAGTACATTCATAGTGACGTGGGCCTAACATCTGACTTTCGGATGCAACTCTGATCGACTGTACAGCAATTCCAGGCGGGCTAACAGTCGATTACCGTTAGTAAATCAATGTGTCCTACAATTTGAATGTTTCACAACATCCCTGACCCCTTCAGGAATACCAAAAGTGGCGTGGATCTTTACAAAGCCACGATCACTTCGGAGTTAAATGGTGCATGCCCGTAGCCGAGGGG